GTTGACAATAAAGACAAATATGCATGAATTTAGCCTTATAAATCCATGCATACACTATGCAAACATGCATGTGCACACACTACACCGTGTGCAATTCTTTGGCATGTATCCAAAAACTGCGTACGCAGACATGTTATGTCACATGCACTACCCACAGACACACGCAGACATGTGCATATAACCCACATACAGCACATGTAGGTGTGCACGCTTGCACAGGCACAAAAACGCTCAGATAGGCTCACACGACTGCAGGGGTTTGGGGGAGGGGGATGGGTAGTGAGGGGCTTTAATCAGGAAATTCACCTCGAGGGGTTTCATCTAAGCAGGACTGGACGCTGCTCTTCTCCCTGCTTCAACACAATGAATTGAATCACCGAGACAGCCAGTGCTTGAAAGCCTCAATCCGCTGTCAATAACGCTAATGCTATCACAGGTTTTCTGTGAGCACTGTAATCTATTATATGGTTTCATATGCAGCATGTGGACCTGAATTCAGCCGCATATGAGACAGACACAACCATTATTCCCTGTTTGAATGAATCAAAGCATGCAGTCATTTAGACTTTTTAGAGGCATTTTGTTGGAATTAAAAGATTCTACATTAGATTTAATGAGACGCAAGTTTTAATTCACACACAGAAAATATAAACACTCAAAAATTCGGCCTACTATTGACAATTATGTGTTTTAACTGGTAATAAATTGTGTGCCTGTTTGGATCACATAATAGAACAAAGTAATAAACTTTACAAATGAAACCAGTAAGTATTTAATTCTTGTAGTACTAATAAATCCACAATGCTATGTTTATGTTTATTATTAGTGCTTATTTATTTCTTTATTTTGAGACACAGACATAACATTATGTTAAAATTATCTAATCCAAATGAACTGAATATTTCTCTTTGTAATTAAAATACATAACCATAACCAAAAATACATATTAGAGCAGAAGATGTCACTTCAGTCACTAATTTCACTCGCTGATTTGACAAATTGTGCCCACTTTCCTTTCATTTCACGCCAAACTTCCTGATATCAAAGCTTGCTTCACACGTTCTGCTTACGTAGCATGATTTTTGTTTGTGATCATTAAAACGTCAGTGTTTTTGTAATACACTTTAGGAAACTCTTCAGCCGACACATTTCTTTTTGACCATTTAGTTGGTAGTTTGGTTTCTGGATTTTTTTCTTCATCCGTTCAAATACGCAGGTTGTCTCTGCTCATGTTACAAATACCGGTTCTATATTAGTCATGGCGATTAAAGCTTTTCAGTGTTCAGTTTCCATACTACACACTACAGCCATTGTGGTCTCAAGAAACTGCACCTGGTTTCCTCCCGGTGAACAGAAACTCTCCCTCTTTTAATATCACATAAGTATAGCATTAAGCACGGTGGACAGTGAGTGGTAATAGAGACATTCATAATTAAGGAGGAAAAATACTTCCTTTGAGTACTTTGGCGGATGATTTTATGGCTGTCTGTGGACTTCATTTGTCAGTGAATTATTTTCACAATAATGCATATGCCGTCACAAAACTTAGCAGGTGTAAAGTTGAGGTCAAAATGAAGGTTGGGTTCAAAGATGGACGTTTGAGGCTGGTGTGATCCTATTGCCAGATGATATCTACAGTTATATTAACCCAGAATAACTGCCATTGATGTTTAAAAACTTGATTTGCGACAGAAGGATACGGGCAAGAGTGAAAAGGAAGGCTTATAAGATGGTAGCGAGACCAGCTTTGATGTATGATTTCGAAACTGTGGCACTGACAGGAGAGAAAAGACAGGAGGCTGAACTGAAGATGTTAAGATTTTAATTGGCAGTGATTGGGAGGGACAGGATTAGAAATTAGTGTATTAGAGAACAGCTGAGGTTTAGAGTTTTGGAGAGAAAGCTAGAGAGGTGAAGCTGGGATGGTTTGGATGGGTGCAGAGGGATAGTGGTTATGTTGGGACAAAGGCTGATGAATGTTGAGCTGCCAGGCGGCAAGAAAAGAAGACCACAAAGAAGATTCATAGATGTAGTGAAGAATGATACGAAGAGGGTTGGCTTGACAGATAAGGTCGCGAGGGACAGGGTAACATGGAGGCAGATGATCTGCCGTGGCAACCCCTAAAGCAGAAGCAACAGAAGAAGATGATGATATAGTGCATTCTTCTACAACATCGAAACCATCTTCCTAATGTCATGTAGGTCCCTCGCGTGCTGCAGATTAGGGGTGTTCAGGGATGCTCAGTCTGACTGGGCTCTGAGGAGTTTGGAAACTGGATCAATGCCTTGGGCTCTCTGTTTTCTTGAGCAGCTTTTAGCCTGCTGGGAGAGGTTGCTGCTGTTGGAGAGCGTTGTTGCCATGAAGGGGTGTGCTGGGTTCCCAACAATAGTTCAAAGTATCACCCACATGAATGTGAGGATCAAAGATTTGCCAGCGCAACATTGGATTGTAATGGCACATTATTTACTTCACCTGTCAGTTGAATTGTTGTATACTGATAGTAAAAAGTGATGGAAGATGCATATTTCCATTTCACTACGTTGCTTTGCCCCATTCCACTGTATGGTCGTGCTGACCTTATTAGAATTTGTTTGCTGTTTATGTGAACAAGACCTTTCTTAAATCACATTGGTCAACCTACATTTACACGCGCTATCAGATGGGATGTGAAAAGCGTGCCGCCGCAGCTTAGAGGAAGAGCACCGCGGATAAATTCGCTTTAGAGCACCGCGGCACCTGTGACATACAAATAATTTGCTTCTCAGAGGTTTACACTGCGCAAAACAATAGCACCTGTAGCGCTGGGTGACAACTTATCTGCCCCAGCTGAAACAGGAACAACATGCTCTGTCTCAGCGGTAATCTTTGATCAGCTGAAACGCTTTCTGTGATAAACATTGACTCGATCCCCATGGGCAATCACTCTATAGTACTGGCATCATGGGAGGTAATGTATGCATAGACGTGTTGAATTCGCCTTGGGCCCCTCGCACAAACACTCACACACACGCACGGACACACACCGTGCACAGTGAGATGAATTGCTACGCCACCTAGAATAAATACATATCAGCTACAGTGAGCTGGGGCGCTTTGCTCTTTCCTATTAATCCTCAGCATGGTGATTTATTGCAGCGTGCTTGTCAACAGCCATATAGTCCCCTGGAACTGTGGCCATCCGGGAGAAATAGTAGAGTTTAAGACTAAGGCCCAGCAGCTGCCCCATAGTCTATTTATGTGCATTCTGGTCTGGTCCACGCTGAGGGTGAATATATGGGTTGGTTGAACAACAACATTTTGCGCTAAGAGGAATGGGGCTGTAAAATAATCTATTTGCCATAATCCAAGTTTTAAATTGATGCCTTCCCAGATGTCACTGTTGTAGAGATTTGCATTTGCCAAGGTGAAAGGCCTGGATGCTCAGAAATCAGTTGTGCGCAGGAGAGTGAATGCTAAAGGGTCCTTCTGTAAGTTATTTTTATACTGTGTATGCATGGCACTGCATATTCAGCTCTGGGTGTTAACTCATCCGTTTGATTAATATGACTTCCACTGAAAAACACAAGAGTGGCAGTAAAGCAGTGGGACTCTTTATTTAACAGCACCATCTAGTGGGCATCTCTGTGGCAAATAATTCATAATTCAAATGACAAATGAGAAATCTAAAACTGCGAATTGATCCTGACACTAAAGACTTGATCAGACTTTATACATTGATCAATTTTATGTTCACTTATTTATTTGAAGACAAGAGTCCTGCATGTAAAAGGAGAGCAAGAATTGTCCTCATATAACCATGAGATTTGATTTCTGCCTTAGAATTTTAGTGAACAGGGTAGTGAAGGACTTATAATCCTGCTTTTAATATGTATATGAATAATAATAAGAAGGAATCCACCTTGGAAGTTGGTACAGTGCAAATTTATTAGACCACATGTCCCAGTGTAATGTTTATGACACAGTTGCTCTAACTTAAAAGCACTGGCAATAAAGTCAGTTTTTCTGCTTCTGTAATTGTTACTCCACCAATACGCAACAGCTCTTTAATGGAAATCACACTTTTTCATGCTAAAATATAATTGGTGTTATCAATCATTATCACAAGCGCCTTGAGGCGACTGTTGTTGTGATTTGGCACCGTATAAATAAAATTGAATTGAATCAATGAATTTACTTTTCTAAAAAGGCAAAAATTGCAGTTATTTTCTTACTTCCTGAAAAGAAAAATAAATTTTAGTGGTTGAATGTTAACCTTGATTAATTTTTGACTTCTCAGAGAAGTTCAGTATGCTGGCTCAAATTTGAAATGAATAAAGTTTGTGGTTTATGACATAATACATATTAATATAACTGTTAGTTTTAAACAAGTTTTTGGCAGATTTCTACAATATTTGTGTTTTGTTTTTGTTACATTTCAATACGTTTGTTCACCACTGTGTTTGCACACTTCTAAGAAGGCCCGATACATGCTCACTCGCTAAAATAAAGGCTTTTTGGTACTTTTCTAAACCTACCACGAAAGCCTTGCATAGATTCATTTAGTGGAAGGTTTTTGGGCATTGTTTTTAATTTTCTTTGCTACAATTATTCCCCATACATGAGTGCCACTGGTTTGAGGGACACCAATAACTCTATTATCTTCTTTTCTTCTTTTTTTTTTTTTAAGAAGTTCCCCACTAATTAAAAGCCAAACAATTTATTTTAGACTTTTATCACTAATGAGTTTCCCCAGATCTGTGAAGAGTGGTGTATAGCTTACCTTATCTTACCAAATGTCACTTAAAAAAATAATCCACAGCTACTTGAAGGAAAGAAATCAAGTAAATTAATTTTTTACTCTAACTTGTCTCTTTTCTGCCAAACACGTTACACTCACATATGACTTTAGGGCAGGATGTGAAAGTCTATATATCTGTAACTGATAAGACAAAGAACCAGAGAAACTACTGTGAAACTACTCGAGTGGGCCTCACATCTGAAAATACAGTATCAACTGTAATTATTGCAACATGAGCTTTATTATTTGTGTCTCACTAGATTTAAAAAAAAACAAAAAACAAATATAATTTTACAAACACCAAAGCATCTTAAACTTCAACTGCTGTTTTCAAACAGGATGACAATTTTTTTTGGATTGATTTAATGTGAATATTGACAGTTACAACACATGACTCAGAAAACCCACAACAGGAACAGAGCACCTTTTTCATACTGCAGACGGCAAGGACACTTTGACTTGATAGCTACATACAAAAAACAAATAAGGCCACTCCACTTTAAAGCGTTATTGTCCGTTTGAGAGAAGACAGCGGCTTTCTTTGACTGAGTTTCCGCAGTGGTAGAGGACCTAAACAGTGGAAACTAAAAAGGTCTACGGAGCTCACACATTTCACGGGTCACTGTCACATGTTACATTTTAGAGGGAACTGCTATGGCTAATGTAGGTGATTATGAAGTTTCCAATGTGCTTTTCAGAAGAATGAACTTTAAAATGTGGTAAAAAACAAAAAAACCACAGGGTAGATAAGCCACTGCTCATTAATTTTCAGCAATTACCCGTATTAAAAATGTTATGACAATGAAATGGAAGGACATCACTTTAGTTTGAGTTTAAAGCTACATTAGTATATTTTATTACCTCGTTTGCATCCGATGAAATAAGCCTAAAATATTTATAACACTGTTTACTCTGAATGTTCAGTTACCACAATTTCACATCACTGTTCAGTGAGATTAAATCAAATATGCTAGGTAAACCTTGATGGTCCATCCGTGAAGAATATTTCAGTTACTAGAGATTGAACAAAGTTGGATTGGCTGTTACAGTCAGATAGTTACAATGATTGACAGCTAGATGGCGCTGTGAGGCTGTATTTGCAAAGAAAGCCCCCCTCCTCCAAAACAAACCCATCTGGTCATCTCTGCTCCACCTACCCATTTTATTTAGCTCCTCTCTGTCTCCAGCTCTGTTCTTCACCTCTACACCTCATCACTCCTTCCATCTATCTCTCACCCTTCTCTCCTCAAGCCTCTGTATCCGTTTCCATCCATCTTTATCGCTTCCTCCCTACTAACCCCCACCCCCCACCTGCTCTGTCCTCTACTGAGCAGCAACAGCCTGGGTTTCGCCTCCGGAGGTCACCAGCTCCATGAGGCTTCCTGAAGATGGTCGGTTCACCCCGGTGGCCCAGCTGAAGAACATTCTGAGGAGGGAAAAAAAAGAAAGGAGGAAGAACTTTTTGAGTAGTTGAATAAAACCTTCAATACCTTTTCATGTTCATTCTTATATATATTATATATGTACAATGTGCTGAACCTTTTGGTTCTTAGTAAGTGTGTTTGCTTTTTCCAGTTTATTTGTTGGAGTCAAGGAGGCACAGATGTGTCTGGAAGATGAGCCACACCTCAATCATATTCCCCTGATTGTTTTATAAGATGCTGGCAGCGTCAGTTCTCTTTTGCTTTCCCTCTGGTGGGCTGGTTTTATTCCCTGGGCGACATCCTGCTCTATGACTGCAAATTCACAGCCTAAAATGGTACTGTTAACTAGGGCTGCCACAAACGATTATTTTGATAGTCGACGTAATCGTGACTAGTCGACTAATCGTGGCAGCCCTACTGTTAACTGCAGTTAAATACAACGCAATGGTCACAGAGTTAGTTTCTCACTCAGATCTGCCACTCGCTCAATACATGTGCATCTTATGTTGAAAACAGTCAGCTTAGAGCTTCATTACAGGATATCGCTGATCAGTGGTCGATGTCAAAGCTATATTTTTCTTTAATATACTGTCTGTAGTTGTAACCTTATTCTTTGCATACATTTACAACTCTTTCCGTTTATCCCCCGTTACACGCCAAATAACTGATCAGCATACCTAAATTTGTGGGGTTTTTTTTAGTTAAATAAACCGATAACTCAACACCAAAGATGCCTTCAAATACCACGTGAGCTAGTCTGTTAACTTAAAACAGTAACATAAAATCTAAGTAAAAATAGCTTATACTGGAAATCAGTTTGGTTTAATAGATGAACAGTGGCCAGAAAGGTAAGCACAGAATAACAATAGGTGCTAAAACAAACTAACCGCCACCTTCATTAATTTCGGGTCACATAGACTGTTTCTATTTCTGTCTCCAGACCCTCATCTGTTTCCTACGGGATTATCAAAGTGGATCAAATCCCATCTAATCTTCACTGGCCGACACAGACATAAACGCAGCCAAAGCCAAAGCCAAAGCATTCATTCAGTTGTACACCAAGGATTAAAAGAAATTAACAAATTTATCAAAGCTTTAAGTAAAGGCAGAGTGGCTCATGTAGCTCAAAGTTCTATTTGTTAATAGAAGTTTAATTGTCTCATTGCTGTTTAAAACCCCCCAGAAGAAGTCTATTTTGCCATCTTGTGGTGCAATTCTATATTTTAAATTTTATTTCTTTTTGGGTTAATGATATTCATATGCAGCCAAACCTTCAGATCCTCAAAAGAAACCAATTCCAGTTCATGAAGATGTCAGAATACATAATATACATATAAACAAAACAAATCTGTCCTAACAGATTTTTTAAGCAGCTACTTGCAAAACACTTTGTATTCTGTGTTCATGCCTCCTCATTCTTGTGCATAATTAGACATCCTCAGGTATTTCCAGTCACTTTAATGTAACGTAGTTTGATAGCTGGAAGTGTTTCTGTGATCCCAAGCATCAAAGGTAAATGTGACGATTACGGTGTCAGTCCCTGAGAATCAAAGAGCTTCTTAGTCCAATGCTGAACAATCAGAAAGAAATTCTGTTTCTTTGCCCACACCATCTTAATAACAGTGTGAACAATTGAGAGTCAGCAGGGGGGCCGTTGTGAACAGAAACACGCAGAGGAGCTGTACAGCAGTTGAACGATATCAAAGCATTTAAGAAGTATATTAATTTAAAATGTGAATGCCCTAATAGAGTGCAGTTGGAATTTTGCATAATAGGGCTCCTATAAAACTGAACATCTTGAACATTTCACCATTTGAAAATTGATAAAAACATATACACACACCCCCAATCTAAATAAAAACAAAGAAGAGAAAAAGACTGCTTTGGCACTCACTCTGCAATATACTCCAGCGGTGTCCAGGTACTGAAATCTGCTTTAGGCATGAACTTCCTGTTCATCGGCGTATCCAAGGTAACGCTGCCAAATGAAGCCAGATGACAATCAGGGTGAGTAGCTGCGTCTGAGCAGCACAGAGGAAGCAGAGTGTGCAGACTGCAGCATCTCCACACATACTATATATCACATGCAGTTTCTGAGGGGTTGAAGTCATTTTATAAGCATACTAAAACTGCATTTTACAGGAAAATCGATTATTCCGTATAAGTTAGACATCAACATTCAGCTTAAAGAAAAAAAATGTTTAGGAATTATGGCAAAAGGCACAGGAGGCTTATTTTAAACTTGAAACAGCCATCGCTCAGACAATAAGGCTTGCAGTTTATGTGCTTGAGTGAGGACATTTGCATTGGGCGTGTTATCATCTGCCAGGGCAATCCTGTATTGTCAGACTGTGTATTCCTGCAAAAGCCATACAATGGGTAAACAACATTTTTATTCTATACTGTGCTTTGCAGAAATGTTCGGGTTACTATATGGTGGTGCCACAGCATCAGAGACCTGCATGCAGCAGAAATGCAAGTCATGGGGCTAATGTTAAACAGATGTGACAGAATGCTGGAGAGGCAGCCTGGCCCCATACTGGAGGAAAATGCAGCCAAACAGAGCGCGAGGGGTGGATACACCCCCTAACAAGACATTTCTTTCTTCTCATGATGACAGTGCAAAAGCTGCTTTTATATCCAATAACTAAAGAGAGAGCGCAATGATGCAAATACAGCTGTGTGTCATTCATCTAAAGCATTCATGTGCAGATCCACCGCGTGGAACGGGCACCCTTATTCATCTTTTATTCCTGCATCTTATCCTCACCTCGTACTTATCTATCCAACATGACAAAGAATACGTGGCACAGCTAATTTTATAGCTTTCATCTTCAGTCCTTTCACCGACTGCTTGCCGTGCTGGTGTATTTAAAGCAGCTCTATACATGACTTTTATGTTATGGTGAATACAGAACACATTTTTAAACCTGCGTCTGTATTCACCATAAAATGACTTGAATTCATCCTACCGGTTTGTCAGTCCTGTTTTATTAATAAAAGTCTGCTGCTGGATATGGATTAGAGACAAATCTGTTCCCTAAAAATATTAAAAACACACTAGAAGAAGCAATATACAGTATTACCCTGCAAGCGGAACACCAGCACACTATCCAAGGAAAAAAAAAAAACTTTTTTGTCATAACATACAGTACATGCTTTTGCTAATACAGGAAATCTAGGGGTTTCTGTGTTACCATAAAATCAACTATTTTTACCCCATAAAAACAATTCAGGTGGGATCTGAAAGGTTAGTCCATGTCAGCAGGACGAACAGGAGTGCAGAGGCACCTGCAGACAATTCCTTGGTAAAACCCAGTGTGGAAAAAGAAGACATGTAAGACATGCAAGTGTAAGATTTATTTCTGAGTAAAACCCAGGGAGCCACGTTTCCCTTTTCATTTCCATTTAAATTCTAATTACAAACTCACTACACACAGTAATGAACAGTAACTGTATAATATAATTAAAGCCACTTGTTTTCTCATAATAAAAAGAGCAACTTGTGTTTTGAGGAAAACACATTTGTGTGAATTGTACAGTCAAAAAAGCTTAAAAATATATTAAAAACTATTGTAGCTTCTTATTTTAAAAGGTTAATAAAATCATGCTAGGCCATATAAAGCTATTAAATTCTATTAGCTTCAGTTTGTTGCTTTTTGCTAGCAGGGATAAACCAGAGATTTTACACATAAAGTGTGCTCAGGATCATCTCGACTAAGTTTTAAAATCTTTGAAAAACAGACTGGGGATGAAAGTTGGTAAGGACTGCTTTTAATTATTCAATACTGATAACTTTGTTTCCTGTAAGTCTGGCTTTCCAGTTGTATCTGCTGTAAATACAACTAATCTAATCTGAGGGTGAGAAGAGAGCAATAGACTTTTCTAGTTTTAATCTAGCAGAGAAGACTTTTTGTTGATTGTTCCTTTAAGGACAGCACATGCTAGAGCTGCTTTTGTACACCTTGATTGTGTTTTATTTCAGTACTCACGGTAGTATAGCGACAGCAGCAGTGTCGGCAGGCATCCCACTGTTTTTTGCTGCGAGACTCTGACACAGCTGGTGGACGGCTGCTTTGGCCATGCCATATCCTATCATGCCTGGGGGTTGCAGTGGAAACATTATTATTTTAGTATCCTGGAGAAAATTCAGCTTGCAAAAGGCAACGCACAACACAATATAATCGTTACACAGAAAGTGGACGGTACTGATTTGTTGAGAGGGGTCAAGTGGACAGACCAGACGTCTGTGAATCTATGTGAGGAACATCTTGAGACTTTCAAATGCTTCCCTGTCTTTTACATGGTTTGTAAATGTTAATATCGACTTAAGGCTTGACAGTCTGCTTACTTGCATACTGAATCTGTACATGAGCCCAGCCTGGGAGAACGAATTTTCTGACTCTTCAACATCTGGAAACAGTAAGCGTCTCTTCCCCCTAAATGATCTTATGAGAGGCTTATAAATCCCCAACCAATAGAAACGAGGGGTGGTGGCATGACTTTGCTCTCAAGCTTTTGTTTTTCCTGCAAGAGCAAACACTAGTAAGGAATACCAGTCTTGCAAATGCATCCACTCACTGTATACTGACCAGATTAGAATGCGAATTTAGACAACCAGACATGTTCAGCCCATCATTAAAAAACAAAAATCTGATTTCTGGCTCTGTTGCATGAATACATATACATTCACCTGAAAACATTTTGGAAAGAAGGGAAAAAATAGAATTTACACTATGCAGACTCACATTATTATCTGCAATATAATAGTTCCAAAACATGTTGCGAATTTGCAATTTTGAGTTGTTATAGTTTGCATTAGACGTTTGATAACCGCTGCGCCATCATGCTGATCACCTCTCTCATCTGCTTTATTCTTCAATAACTAAGCTTAATTATTTAGTCTTGTAACAGACACACTCAATAGTTACCAAATGATTAAACTCCAAATCTCATGCTGATAATTTAGTGATTCTATCTAACAGCAGCTGCAACTGGTTGCAGAAAAACAAATGCAATAGGTGCCAACTAAGGTTTTTCCAGTTATATACTGACTCTAGGATTACCACTGCATCCACTGGAAGTCTCTTCATAGTGTCTTCATCTCTGTTCTGTATGAGAGACTGGTTTGACTACTGACTTATCATCTAGTGAATGTTAAATGAGGCCAGAATGGAGTTCTCCAAGGAATTTAAAAGGCTACAAGTTGCATATCTGGGAGGATAATCACAAACCATGAAAATTTCACGAGGCCAAGCAAAGAGCTCTGCATTCCTTTTGAACTGTCTGGGGTTCAAACTCTGCTCTTAAGCTTAACTGTGGGGTCAAATTCTCAAAAAGGGCAGTCATAAAATTTCCAACCTTTTCTTCACCTGCTGGCTTTTTGTTTTTTTCTTTCAGATTTCTAGTAAATTGGGTTTGCTCCTCAGAGAAAGAAGCTAAGAAACAAGATTGATGTGCTACTGGGGTATGTTGAGCCTAAACCCAACTTTGGTAACTTACGCTGAACACAGAACCAAGTCGTGAGCAGGTTTTTTTTTTTTACCAAGTTTTGGGTTGAAATTGGCCGAAAGTGCCACATTTTTAGTTTCTTTTCACAACTTGCCCCAAATGCAGTATATATTCTTTACTGAAGGAAAACACTTTACACATGTTGGACCTTACTAACACCACCAAAATGAAGCTCTAAAGTAAAGTTACAGAAATGCAAACTACACAAACTGGAAATGTACAAAAAGGGAATTTTCATGTAGATGATGCAGAAAATGCATATTTTTTTGTGGTCCCTGTTATGAGGGTCATGCCCGTTATCTCTGACTGGGTTTTAGGTTTTGTCAAGACAGCAAACACAAAGAAAGCCTGGGTTTGTAAAATCTGCTGCATCGTAAATCCCTCTGAAAGACAACGAGTATGACAAAAACTTTTAACTACTTTAAACATTTGGCCAACCCAAAATCAACGTACATTTTCAGTGTATTAAACGATTCCCTTCATTTGGTCTGTTAGCTCACACACCTGCAGCATTTAACAGCCTTTTCATCCATTAAACTTTGATGAACAACAACAAAGTCAAAGTCAGTACAATTACTCATCCTAATATCCTTTCCTGTTTCCTCTTCATAGATGATCTGGATTTGGCTTATTAACTCTCCACTCATCTTGTTTGATCAAAGCACTCAAAAAAAGAAAAAAAAAAAAAAAAAAAAGGATGAGTGTAGGTGCCTCTTAAACCAGTTTGTTACATTTCTTAACATTTGGTACTTGTTATTGCCTTGTGTTTATTTAGAATTTGAAGATTTTTTTCCCCACATGTTTACTATGCAGAGCTCTACCTAAGTGCTTGCACTACAGAGGACAACTAAAATGCTTTAGTCTGATAAGTTAGAACACTGCATGGGGACATTGTGTGAGGACCAACAACTGCTGAGTCACTGTCTTCCTAAGCCGGCAGCCAATGAGCTCTTCGGCTCTGTGTGGGCTGCTGAGCCAGGGCTTTGTGTAGCTGTAGAATTGGATCATAGCCCATCACATGGCCAGCTTGGTCACAGGAGGGGTTTTTACAAATCACATGGCCCTGGATTTAAGCCTTTATGGACACTACATGAGCTGAAGAGCTGGACCAGTATCACATGGTAACAAGGCTGCAACTAACAAAGTATTTGACTATACCAATTAATCATAGATGTAGACTTTAATTAATTAAGTTGAATAAAGTGATTTCTTTGGACTCTGTCTTAATTGGTTGTTTAAGTGGCTGAGTATTAAACAACCCCATGGACGGCCTGTTCTAGTATGTAAATAAACACTTAGGCATAAAATCGTTAATTTTAGACACTTTGTTCCTAGCACCCTGTCGCAAAAAACAAACTTAATTTGTTCTAATTTCATTAATTTAATATACAAAAACAAAGCCAAAGATATCACAGTTTCACAGATATAAAATGTGATTTTGCACCAACAAGATGAATGCTGAAGAACTATTAATCAAAACACAGGAGTGGTACATCTTAAATACTACCTACAGCATCTGAACAGGGTCTGACAGTCATATCATTAAGAAGCAGGAAAAAAAAAATCCCTGAAAAACCTGACACAGGAACTGAAGAATGCATCTAGCCCTTCAATGAATCCATCTACTCCTCACTGAAGCCTCATGAGAAATTGTTTCAGTAGAAGGCTGGATGTCAAGAAGATATTATTCGTGAAGGAAGGCAAATGGCGAGAAACAGCTAAGGTTTGCCAGATTACAAAAAAAACTGCAGTGAAAACATGTTGTATGGAGCGATTAATCCAAATTTGCACATTTCAATAAATCGCTACACCCATTTCCCATTTTTTTGGAAAAAATTAAATTTAAATTTACTTTTGGTCTAATTTATCTACTTTCATTAACCTTATTTTTTATTTATTCACTCTTGCCCCAGATATCTTAAAACGATTAAGCAGGTCACGGTTGAGTCGATTGCTCAACAATACAGGGGAAGGTTTATAGTAGACAAACATGCTGTTTTGGCAATCAAACCAATTACTTTTTGTTTGTGAAACAGACTCACTAACCAGTGAGCACCACTGCTGCCGCAGAGCTCATCAGCGATTCTGTCTTGCTTCTTGGATCAATGTTATCGACACATTTCGCCCCCAATCGCACACACTGCTGTGAGCAGGTGCGCCTCTGATCAGTGTGTCAATTACCCTGGTCAAAGTCTGTAACCCTGAGGAGCGGGCCATCAGTTCGCTATGATGAGAACAGTAAACACGCAACAAAAACTGTGTGCCTCACCTCCAGTGCCTGACTGGGCTGCTTTAGCTCCAGCCAGAGTCAGCAGTCCACCTGTTTTTAGGTGCAAGGCAGCAAGGTGGCTGGAGATGGTTGAGGTCCACACGCTCTGTTTCCACATCAAATCACTATTTTTGTACAAGTCTGTAGGAGAATACAGAGAACAACATCTTAGACTGGCTCTTCAAAGCAGTGCCGAAAGCTACGAGTACCTCTAAAAGGTTTGTTTGATCTGTACAAAAACTTGATTAAAAAAGATCAAATTACCATTTTTACAGGATTACTGTGTCAGATTATTTCTTGACTTGGACCAGAAACGTCCTGAAGTCTTACCAGACTGCCTGATAACCCTTCATTGCCAAAAATCATTGCTGGCACGTAACTCATCTATTAAATGGCGAATTGCTGTTTATAAACACTGGTATTTGTAAAGATTTAATACACTAAGTTGTTAATCTGAGCCGGGTAGACCAGCTGTTTTGAGTAGCTTCAATAATGCCAGCCTTTTCATCTTTGCCAGAAAGCGAGTGCCTTGTCCTCCAAATGTTTGAAATGGCTGAATTTGCGGCAACCACAAAATTCTTATTAGCTGCACAGTGCACATCAATTCTGGCACTTCAAGAGAACTGCTGCTTTCCCTTTGCTGCCAGGTACAGCTATGGAATAAATACCAAAAAGCTAACTGGCAGAACAAAAATCTGGCAAGCTTTTGGCCCCGCAGAACAAAATTTAAACACTTCTAAGTAAATGAGATTCAAGAAAAAGTCTAATCACAAATATCCCTTAGACTTTATTTAATTACAAAGCAAATTGTTTTCAAGTTCACAATTATGCATGGGAGACTGCAGGAAAGCTGGCTGATTATTAACACCAAAACAAATAATAATAAAAAAAAACTCTGACCTTTGGAACTACAGTTTCCTCCCGCCCATCCTCCCGCCGCGCACAAGATGGCATCCACTTTCTGTTCCCCTAGCAACTGGGCCACATCTGCCGTCACCTGCACAAAATGAGAGCTAACTGCTAACACAATGACATAAAGCCACTGGGCAGACGCACGAGCTGAATGGCATTTAAATGTCAACTAAGCATCAGCTGGAGAGTGTTTGTTCTGGTAAACAAACAAAGGAGGATAGCTGTAGAAATTATCCTCACTCAGTCAGTGTACTGTTAGATTTCTAAAAACACACTTTTCATTTTATAAAGTGCAAAAAATATCTTACCAAAAGCAATTATACAGAGAGAAAGGATGCTACCGATTTTTATCAAGGTCACATAAAATGGGCAAAAAGAGATGCATCAAATGATAAATATATTTCTGTGTGTCAAATAAGACCGCTCAGATCAGCTTTAATAGTTTTACCTACCTTGGGTTTTTATACCTCTCTACCCTTAGACGCTCTCAATGAACAGATTTGAACTATAAAAGCTACTAAGGGGTTCAAGAAAAAGAAGTACAGTTTAGATAACCATTAATGCTGCCTAAACAAATAAGAAAAAAAAAATCATCACAGTAATCTGACTCTATCATAACCTCTCTACTACAAAAACCGAAATCCCCACTTTCTCAGTTGACCTGAACGCAGCATTAGCTTACACACATTTTAGCAACTCTACTATTACTGAACAATGCAAATAGTTGTAATAATAATAAAAATAACAATAATAAATTTAAAAAACAACAAACAAATGTCATTAGAGTTATACCAAAGTCATATGAAAAGTCTGACTTTAGCTGTCGCAGTAACAGCCCTACTCCTGTCTGTTAACGCTTCAGTTTTTGCACTGATGAGTCAGAAAGATCTGCAGAGCACCTGTCCTGCTTGCTCGGTGAAAGACTCCGTCATCTTCACGATCACGTTTTCATTAGCCTCTTCATTTGCAACCATGTCGATGCTGGCGACCCACTATTTAGTGCACAGAGAAAGAGAAATATAGTTAGCTCACCGTTTATCAGTGCTAGCATGCTAGCGTTAGCTGTCACCACTCACCCATCCTTTAGATTTGAAATACTCGACACACTTTGAGCCCAGAGCGCCTCTCCCACCGTAAATGATCACCCGGTTAGCAGCCATGTTCACGCTCCAGTTACCCGTCAGGAGTGAGAGCGAGAGAGCTGCAGGAATTGAGCTTAGAAGAGCAGAAGGAGGAGGAATAGGAGGCGTTTCTCTGAATGAGCAACAAGTTGGTTGAACTAATGCTGCGTTCAACGACTGTAGGAAATCACCCACTCCAAAGTGAATCCTGAAGCGAAACAAGCTGAGAGCTGAAACCAAAAATTGCAGTTCTTGAAATAGGCACTGGAGAGCGAGTCAATTCCCACAGCCAAACTTTACAGCAATAAAAAGCACGTGGTCAATGCCAATACACTGAAAAGGAGTATAGAAAACTTAATAATAATAATGACTTTAAAAAATAACATGCTTATGTTACAGGTAAAAGTTTGTCCTCCAAGGATAGGAAGCTGTACCTGGTAACTCTCTGCTAATTTGATTTTCAAAAGCTCTGTTCTTAGTAACCAATAAAACTATTTACATGTACATGGCAAGCCATAAAAGGTAGAACAGAATAGCTGTTGTCCTTGACATTGTGTGTAAATAAAACATGTTTTTGTTCAGAAAAGGGTAAAAACATAAAGACTTTGTTTTTTTACTATACAGGCACACATAGCATTATTTCAAAATTTCATAGCTCATAGTGAGTCTACGCTAGATAGTCGCAACATTGGTGCCCTTAACCAAAATCCCTATGGAGAATATGAATGGGATTTTACTTTCAAGTCTCATTGTTTGAGTTTTATTGTAGAAAAATGTTCACGTCTGGTTTGAAAAAAGTAGATGGCCAAAATACCAAACCCAAGGCTTCAAAAACCACTTTTAAAAGTCTTTTCTACAGTTTGTCTATCACACAAGGTTAAAAGTGAAAATGTTGTTAGATGGTTTGGATTATTTGTAAAAAAAAAAAAAAAGAAAAAAAATACACATCTTAATCTTTATCTTCATAGCAAAATCTTAGTTGGACAGAGTGATTCATCTTGTCTGAAGCTTGAAAATGTCAGTGCCCAAAAGCTATAATGGACACAAAGATGTTTTTAAATGACAAGTGCTTAAGTAATCTAATAGCCCAGGCTGCTCTGAGAATAGGTTTTCATTAAGGAAAAGTAAATGTCTACTGAGTTTTATCATACATGAATATATTACAGGCAAGCCTAGTGTGCAGTAATGCAGTTCTGCGTGAATTCACCTATAATGCTAAAATTTTGGTAATTTCCATTTTCTGTATAAAATTAATGCAGTAATTTCAGATACGTTACAAGGGGGAGAAACAATTAAAGGCTGATGTTTTTATATTTTGCATTTGAAAAAAAAAATAGCATCATTTTCACTAAATTGTATAATAGAAAAAAACTTGCAAATGTTGCAGATCTCTTAAACCATTTAATTTTATATAGTGAGCACTAGGTGCTGCTATAAGGCTACAAGGTTTACAACATAGGACTGAGCTCTGTCTTTCCATTAGTTGCTGCTGTGCTGCCTGTGCTGAGCCAAAGCGGCATGCCAACGAGACATCCCTGCCTCTCATGAATTATACAAACAAGATGGCCCTAGCTTCCTTGTCACTGTAGTGAAGCCCCGATCTGTCACCTCACCTGGATATGACACACACCTCTGCTACTGGGAATAAGTGCTTGGTTTGTCTAGTCTGACATAGGTGTGTGTGTGAAGACACACACACACACACACACACACACACACACACACACACACACACACACACACACACACACACACACACACACACACACACACACACACACACACAGGAAAAAGAGGGTTAGAGAAGCAAATACACACCTTTCCAGTGTTGCAAACAAACGAATTACACCTTCCTTTCCTGCCTGTCTTCCTCTCTCCAGAGAAAATATATTAAAACAAACATGCACACCCACACATCTCCTCCAATGTGAGATGAGGAGAAACTGTGTGGGTGATGGGAGTCAGTGAGGCTGACCAAGTTCAATAGCTGGCTGATACAAAAGAACACATGATAATTATGACCCAGTATCTGGTTAGTTCAGACCTGAAAAAGAAATCCTGCAGCTTCCCAACATTCGACAAACAAACAGAATTAGAGCTGCATCAAAGGAACCTGTGCCAGGTTGAGTATTTGTCAGCAGCTTGGTATCTCATGGCATGAAGTGGACACAGTAATGACAACAGCAGCAACTGCTGTTGCAGAATGGGGTTTATTGGGGCAGTGGTGGTGCTTGTCCAGAGAGGAGAGATGATAACTGATAGGCTGCTAGTTTCAGAGCAAGGACAGGAGTTGGGGAAAAACTATGGCACTGGGAAGACAAATAAGACCAGAACTCTTGTGCCTTGAGGCGACTGGTGTTGTGATTGGGCGCTGTATAAATAAAACTGAATAAGAATTGAACTCCAAAATGAATGAAATGGCAACTTTTTCTTTTAAACTTTAATGATGTCTGTCCTTGGGCCTGAACTACTAAGCAAGTTTAATATACCCACAGTGTCTTTTATGTTATCTGCCTTAACTTAATGACTACCAGGCAATTACAACACAGTAGGTGTTGTAATTGCCTTAACACAGTGGTGTTAAAGTCCTGCGTTAGCAACATATGGTAATTGGCCAAAGCTGGCAACAATGTGTAAGTAACATAATCTTTAATGTTTACCTTTTGATTCTTTTCCAGTGCCTGTTATATTACTTAGATGCTCTGTTATGGTGTATACGTTCATTTTAGCACCATTCAGTCAGCCACAATCCTGTTGGTTTTAAGAACAGAACAAATATATCATCAGAAATAACTCAAAAAAAATAAACAAGCTTTCTTGCAAATCTAACATAGGGTCAGCAAGTTGCATACCAGGCTTTATGCCCCCATTTTTAGATTTATGTCATAGAGCGTTAGAGAGCAAAGAAATAGCTCTGACATAGCTTGGAGTCAGCAGGAAAAAAATAAGTAAGGAATAAGGTTCCCCCTGCTTAGAATCTGCATCCCCCATTGATGTTGGCTAGAGAAATTCTAAATGTTTAGGCAGTGTGCTAAAATTATAAAGCACTTTAATGTCTGTATAGCACTTTCTACTCCTCAGGAGACACTTCATTTATACTCTTTGATCCACCATCTTGGATGTAAACTGTTCTGGAGCAGGCTGTACATAACAGATAGACTTAACATCCAGGTCTCAGGAGTGACATCACCGCTGCCTTAAACCTGGATGAGACCTCTATGTTTTAAAAAGAAGTCTGATTGTGTAGAAGTCTATAGAAAAAAACAGCACTCAGCTCATTTTCCTGAGACTTTTTAAATACAGCATGATGTTCATTATGTGCATTATGGTCTCCATTAGAATCCAGAATGACAATAAAGGAGATCATGCTTCAGGGTGGGCCTACCTTGTGATTGATAAGTAACTGCCAGATGGGCGTGAATTGTCTCTACGTTCTCAGTGAGCTCCACTCTTCCCTCTTCACATCTGTTTCACAGCAGGATTTCAGTAAGCAATATGTGACATCATAGTAGCTACTTTTATTTTTATCATCTATGCCAAATATGCAGCAAAATACCTTTTTGATGGGAAAAACCTGGAATTAAACTAATTCTAAGCCTCATTGTACAAGCCTCTAATGTTTGTATTATACAGTACCATTGTTTTAGGGGGAAAATAACGTTAGCGGCAGTAGAAGATTTTAATCATGCTGCTTCATTCTCGTGTTTTCAGCTGTGCCCAGTACTGCTTAATATTTCATTTGATCTATTCTGTATAGATAACTTAATCAACTTGTAGTGCTCTGAAAAGTCCGCAGTGGAAATAAAACAATCCCCACTGTGCGTGACAATGTGCATTACTTTCTGCAACAATCCACAGCTCTGTTCCTAAAGATTTCCTCACATCTAAACTGTGGATTGAAGCAGCAGGTGAGGTTGTTTTTTCTATGACCATAAAAAGAAAAATTATTTCCACAGACATATACTGGTCCTAACGTAGCGGGATATATGAAATGTGTCCTTACGGTCTCTGATGTAGCGATTCTTCTCACTACATGAATCTTCCATTAAGTTAACCCGGTACAAAACAGCCTAAAGGGGATGCAATTCACAGTTCAACCAACAGAAAAACAGTGTGAAAAAAAGCTCAGGGTCTTTACCTTTTTAACTTCGTTTTACTCAATTTACATGTTTGCTTTAGAGAAGTGATTTTATTTTCATTTCCAATATTGCTCAGCTCTGCTGGCCTCTTTTAACCTTCCTAACCTCACACATTAAGCTCAGACTTTGTGATGTCTTTTGTCATCCCCGTGCCATGTTTTGTCGAGTAATGTTGATTGCGTGCGTTTGTCGTTGTAGTGCAGCACTTTGTGAAATTTGCTTTTGAAGCTACCTGTAAAAATACAGGATCACATTCATAAGTGGCTGTGCTCTGTTACCTTCTGGAATGTATTCTGTGCGTGTTTGAGCACACCGATGCCTTCAGAAGAGGATTAATACTGTATATAAATTCTGTGGTTATGCATAAAGCCATTACTCATGCATTTTAATGCATACATTTCTTGCTGAACTATTTTATACTTTGACTTGACACCCTACGTGTTCTGCCGTGTTAAAAAACAGAGCTTAAAGGAAAGGTTAGATTGTCTGAGTGAAACATTGGTCTAATGCAGGCTAAATTTGTACAAATATGAGTATTTATACATGCAGCAAAATCAGTTATAGAAAATATATTCTTGTACCTTCTATTTGGGAAGGTTAGTTTGTTAAAGAAGAAAAATGTTGTTTGATGTATGTTCAGTACAGAGCGATATAATGTTTGAATGCCTTTGCTATTCTTCAGCATGTGATAGTAATTCTGAATAAGTTAAACACACACATGAAATACTTGTGAAGACACGTGAAGATAAAACAAGTGTAGGTGCAGACAATAAAGCTACTGGTGTTTTGGCTTATTGTTACACTGTCACATCGTACTGAGACACTTGAATAGAGCAGGGCTCTATCGACTGTTATAACAGAACACCTGTGCTTTTCTTGCAGTGACAAGTTGAATTGCCCACCTCAATCTATTGATTTAACAACAGGTGTGTTAAAGGGCTGCTTATAGCAAGACTGGTGTTCTTAATCTGACACCCGTTTTCCATGTTAGAGAGTCGTACGTTCAGTCGTCAGAACAATTGAGCATTTTACACTAAAATATGGTTTCTACAGCATTTG